TGCCCTCATTCCCTCTCGCTGTAAATCTCTGTGATCTCCCTGATGATCTTGGCCAAGGAGTCATCAAATCTCTCTTCCCTGTCATTCTGTCAGTCAGGTATCTTATCTGTCAAAGAGAAGTTTATTAGGCAAGAAAATGGAAAACCGTGAAAACATTTTATAAAGCTCCAATTTCTTACGAAAGTCCAGCCTTATTCAGTCTTGCATCATGTGTCTTCTTGTGCATAGTGCTGGGATTCCTTTACTTTCCTTCTCATTATCTGAGTTTAAAGCCACTATATGCGTTTCTACCTTAAGGGAGATCTGGGTCTCATAGTTGCTTGGTCAGTGGGATTCACACTCTGCTCTAGGACCTTCTTTCTGATAGCAGCTCCGTGAGTGGTAACACCCTTGTCTCTGGGTCAAGATGAATTTTTACCCCACAACTGTCCAGGGCTCTGTGATTCCTTTATTTGTAAGGTGCATGTTTGGCTTCAGAAATCTCTTCATTAAGCTGATAGCTCCTTGCCCTTCTTTGAGGGCCTTATGGCTCTAGACCTCTAGAAATCCTACCCTCACTCCTATTTGACTGATCCACAGCATAGTAAGTGGAAGTTTTTAAGGCTGGTCTCTCTATGGGAAATGCTTGGCTTCACTTGACCATCTAAGCTAGCAGCTGGGTCTTACAGTGGCTGTTGTTCCAATGGCAGCCACCATCTCCCTGAGCATCTCTGTCTCAGGCTAACTCCTGCCGATGGCTTATGCTCTGTTGGACTAGACTCCATACAAATGACCAGGTTCTTTATGATGTCTTCCCTCCAGTTGTCCTTGGAGAAACCGTGTAGAAACCTATCACCTCTTGAATACCAGAGAACAAGTATACATATTGTAAATACAGTAGTTCCCAACGAAAGCAGAGAGGCTCCTTTCCTCTTATGAAAACAGAAAAGCTGCTTTTCAGATGTAGAGATAACATGAAGCAGGAATGAAAGCAAATGTTTGGAAGCCAGATCAAGGGTCAAAAGGATTTAAGCAGGTGCGAATAACTTGCTAAAAGAAATAGAATGGAGTTTGAAGGATATATGTGTAGTCCTGAATTGCAGCTTTAAAAAAAATTGTGCCTTGCCCTGACCAGTGTGGCTCAGTTGATTGGGTGTCATCCTGCAAAGCAAAATGTCACAGGTTCGATTCCTGGTCAGCGCATATACCTGCACTGTGCATTGCAGGTTCGGTCTCTGTCAGGATGTGTGCAAGAGGCAGCTGATCAATTGTTTCTCTCTCACATTGGTCTTTCTCTCCCTTCCCTGCTCTCTAAAAATAAATAAATAAAATCTGTAAAATAATCATGTCTTCAAGGCTCAAGTTTGGAGATACGTGCAATTCATTCTGGGGCTAGGGTTGTAGTTGGAGATTTTATTTGACTGAGAATAATTTTTATTTGACTTAGCTGTGACCTCAGTGCTAAGAAGGGATATGCTCTTAGGTGCGTAAATAGCCGCACTCTGTCCAGACTGAGAAGGGAAGCCCGAGGGCCTTGGCCGAGGGATTCAGCCCTGGAAGCCTGTGGACCTAATGCATTGTATTGTGTTTGGTTAGCATATCGATTTTGCAAAATTTGGAACCGAACCTCTCTGGGTGAGGCATGTTCTCTCCAGTGTTGATCATTGATGTTAGTTACTTCCCTGGTTCTAAAGGCTTTTTTGTTTGTGGATGGTTCTCTCTTCCCCACTCGTTTATAGAAATAATCTTCTGGGGCCCAGGGACCCATCCTAAGCCCACACTTTGAGAGGCACTTAATAAAATGAAGAGGATCAAGAAGAGGAGGATCCAGCTAGTAAAGGACTTTAATAACAGTGGGCAGAAGCACAGTTCAGTAGCCTGGAGAGCTGTCTTCAAATACCTAAAAGATTGTCACATGGAAGAGGAGTTAGATTCAGCCCATCTCATGGAACATTTATGGACTATGCACCTTTTACTTCAGTCACTATATTGAGAGGATACATAGAGGAGCAAGTTGGTCTCTGTCCTCAAGGCCAAGTTTACTGTAGAGTGGAGGAGATAACACAGAGATGGCTGTAAAATAGTAATGCTAATTCTATGGTTCTTCAGAAGACAGAAACAGAGAGGTTGATTTAAGGTTGGTTTAGAAAGGCTCCTTCTAACAACAAAAACTTTCCCCAAATAGAATGGGCTGCCTTGACAACCTGTTACCAGTCATATTGTTCAACTGTTGGGGATGAGCTGGAGGAGCCTTGAACGTCTATTGGAATAGACGACTTTTCTACCTCTCTCAGTATATGGTTCCAAGACCCTAACTTGCTGTCCTTTACTCATCTAGGGAGAGTTGTCACCGAGCCCACTGGTTGTACTCGGTGTCCTGCGCAGACCACACAGGAAAGAGCAGTTAGTTGCAGGGTTTCTGCAGTGTGGAACTGCACTGTGTGTTTGTCTTCCGTAGACGTAAGAGCCAGTAGGCAGGGTCCAGCTGTCTTTCTTATTCATGGAGCTGGTAGAAGAGTCTAGTGGCATATTTGGCAGATACAATCTTGTTGCTGGTTGCTTCTTTTGTTTGTTGGCTTGCATCTGGCTGTGAGGATCATATCATTCCTATTGAGTGTCACAACACTTTGTTTCCTGGGACAAATATCCTGAGTAACATCTACTTCCTGTGCCCTCCATCCTCCAGAAACCCAGAAACATCCAGAGATCAGCTGCTAAGGCAGGCGATTCCTAACTCTTCCCCTTTGATGACAGAACTTTAAGATAATTTGCATTTCTTTTGCTGTATCCCTAGAGACCCCCCAGCCCTAGGAAATATATAAGTCACATTTTGGCTGCACGCAGAAGGCTAAACCAAGCAAAGACAGCATCTCTTCACAGCCTTTGAGGAAAAGTCTTCTGGCAGCAGCATCCTTGTCCTGTCCTCTTTCTGCTACCCCATCGCCATTGTCATCAGCTCTCACTTCCCCAGCTGTCTGTGTAATTGTCAGGAACGCAGACACGGCCTCTTTTTCTTGGCAAGCACATTCTAAGGTTCAGAAAGGCAGATGCTATCTGGATTTGGCCTGTCTTTCCAATTTTTGCGTGTTTGACCCTGGTTCAGCTCTTTGGGACATTTCCTTCCAGAAATGTCAAAAACCACCTGAAAGATGTGCAAACAAGGTGTGTGCAGTAGGTTAAGGGGAGCACACTGCCACCCACCTCCCCAGCCTGCTGTCGTTGCTCTGTGCAAAGGAGACAGACAGCCCTTTCTCAAAAGCTTGGAGCCAGAACGAATGTGAACCCCTACAGCTGCTGTGGCCGCAGGGTGCGTGGACATGTGAGCCGTCCTGGCAGACGCTCTTCCCTTCCAGGAATCCTTTCCCCTGGGAGAGCGAGAGTTGAGCCGGCCCCAGGCTTTCCCCACACCTTTGGATAGAGGGGGCTCATTGGCCTCGCTATGTGCCTCCTGCACTAGGGCCCCTGGAATCTCTAGAGTAGCAGACAGAGCGGGGAGGTTCTCAGTCCTGACAGCCAGCTCATTGCACCTCCAGGCTTAAAAAAATGCCGGTGTGTGGACCCCATTCCCCAGGGGGTAATTTTTTAAAAGCAGCTTTACAAGTTTCATATAGCATACAGTTCACTCATTTGGAATATATAATTCAATAGTTTTAGTATAATCAGAGTTGTACGACTTTTACCACAGGTGGAGAACATTCTGAGCGGTCACTGTCCATTTCTCTCCAGCTTCCCCAGCCCTAGCCGGCCAACCATTAATCTACTTTCTCTCTGTATAATTTTGCCTGTTCTGGACATTTTGTATATATGGAATCACACAATAGGTGGTCCTTTGTGACTGACCTCTTTCACTTCATATAAGGTTTTCAAGGTTTGTCCACATTATCATGTGTCAGTATTTCATTCCTTTTTATGCCCAAATAATATTCCATTTTATGAATATACTGTAGCTTGTTTACCTTCTCACGAGCTGATGGACATTTGGGTTGACTCCATGTTTTGGCTAGGAGGAGGAAGCGCTGCTCGTAAACAACGGGCACAAGTTTTTGTGTAAACATGTGATTCGTTTCTCCTGGGGATACACATGGAAGCGGAATACCTGGGTCATATGGTAACTTTATGTCTAACCTTTTGAGGAACTGCCAGGCATTTTCCAAAGCAGCTGCACCATTTCACAGAGGAATTCCATAAAAGCTCTCCATGGTGATTCTAGATGTGATTATAATGTGCTGCCCATGTGGATAAGAACCCTTACTCTGCCTGATTTGGAAGTAAAATAACTGCAGAGCAGATACCAACTTTCTCCTGAAGGAGAGAATACGTTTAGAGCAGAACACGCGCCCCTTCCAAATGGTTGTTTTCAACATTTCACATCCCTCAGCTGTCACTAGTAGTCCAAGGTTAACCTGAGCCTCGACTAGGCTGAGTCTGATGCTGGAGGAAGATTATCCAGTGTCCTCCTTTGGCACGAGTTGGTTGCAAAGAGTTAAGTTGATCTGGAAAACTGATCTGTAGGTTAAGTGGAGCAGGGCCACAGACGTGTAACCACTTCTGAGGATGTGACATCTCTCCCTGTGTCATCACTTTCTTGGTGCTATCTGGTAAAAACTGAGTCATGAGGTGCTGACAAACATCCATTGCACTTGATGTGAACTTAAGGCATCTGCTCATTCCTGAGATAGTTGCAGCTGTCAGCCCTGCCATCTAGACGGTAAACAACTTGCCGGGGATGAACTCCTGCCACTGTGACTTCTCCTGGCGCGTCTGAGAGAGGGATAGCCCCAGACGGCGCAGTGTGTCTGTGAGCATCTGAGCACGAGAGAGCGCTGGGTGGCGGTGAGGCCAGGACTGAGCAGCCTGGCCTTTCACAAAAGCCTCCTTCCAAAGCAGCCCCAATGGAGGGAGGCAAAAACCAGCCGTTGCCCTGGGAGCTTGTTAGAACATTCCTGCTGCTGCAGATGCCCATTTCCAAATGGCGCCCATGGGCCCACCTGAGCCTCATTCTCTCTCCTTTGTGTTTGCAGCCACGGCACGGGGTATGAGAGCGATAACCACACCACGCCCATCCTCTGTGGTGCCCAGTACAGAATACACACCCACGGCGTCTTCAGGGGCATTCAGGTGAGTACTCGGGGTCCCAGCTGCAAGTGGGCTTCACGGCCTCCTTCCCTTCACAGCGCCCGCTCACGTCCTTGCTGATGGCCGTTTGACCCTGGCAAGTCTGTTCCCGTTGTATGCCCCTGTGACAGCAGGGACCCCTCCTCTTCCACAGGGCACTAGGGCAGCCTCCTCCTGCCCGGAGGTCAGTGTGAAAGGGGCTGCCTCCCTGGCTCCGCCAGGGTACTTCCTGCAGAATTCCATCCTGTCCTTTTTCCACCGTTTAATTCACCTTCTCCATGGTGGGTTGCACGGCTCCCATGTTTGGGCCTCAATGGGCTTAAATTAATGACTTGCTTTTGACTTGTAAGAAGACTTAGTCTGCGTTGTAGAGCACTCAAAGGTAGATTCTCTCTTGCCAGGTGTTGCTCATAATAACAATAACATTGATAGTAATAACAATACCGCCTATGGCTGGGCACTTTCTGTATGCCAGGTGTTGTGTTTTAAGTTTTTTAAAATGTCCATGTATAAAACTTAACACTTAACAGGCCATTTTGAATCCTGATTGTCCACACTTTAATAAAAATCAACTTAATAAAATTTAATAAAAAATTCACTTAATATTTTTACAGCACTGTTGAGTTTAAGGAAAAATTGTGCGGAAAGTAAAGAGGGTTCCCATACCCTCCCTTTCTCCCCCTTCTCCCCCCAGGTAGGCTCCTCTGTTATTAACATCTTGCTTTGGTGCGGGCATTTGTTACAATGGATGAGCCAATAGTGACACATTATTGTTAACTATTATCCACAGGTTACATTAGGGTTCACTTTTTGTGTTGGGTAGTTCTGTGGGTTTTGTTAAATGCAAAATGCCATGTATCTACCATTAGAATATCATACAAGATAGTTTCACTGCCTAAAAATGCCCTGTGCTCTACCTGCTCATCCCTTCCCCTCACTCTTCTTCCCCTGCCCCCACAACCAGTGATCTTTTTATCGTCTCTCCTTTGTTTTGCCTTTCCCCAGAGTGTCATATAATTAGAATCACACTCTATGTAGCCTTTTCAGAGCGGCTCCTTTCATGTAGTAAGATGCATTTAAGCTTCTTCCATGTCTGTACATTGACTTTCCCTCCCGTTTAATCCTGAGCACACCTTTATGAGGTAGGCACTATTCTTAGCTCCATGTTATTATAGCTAAGAGAACTGAAGTCTGGAGAAGACAAGGGACTTGTCCACAACCACATCTTTAGTAAGAGGTGGAGTGGAGACTTACAGCAGATCTTGTCTGACTCCAGAAACCCTGGTTTTAACCACCATTCTGTACTGCCTCATAGGGAGACAGAAGGCTGTGAACTGTTTGGGGGAGCAGTCTCCGAGGAGAGTGAAGAAAGTGAAGTGAAAGGGTAAACCTTTTACAGAATCGGGGTAACTCAGTGAAGGTCACCTCCGCAGAGCCTTTGGGCGGTCAGAGCCACACACAGTTCCCAAGGACCTGCATTTGTAACTTTTGGATGTGACTCAGTGGCTGCAACATGAGTAACAGCGGTGATACTTTCCCCAGACTAGTCAGGACCCTAGACGTCAGTTGTGTGTGTGTGCTAGGCCCCCACGTGATGCGTAGGGTAAGTAGCTCCGAGATGTTCTGATTCATGTTTCCAGAAGTATCCTGGTGATAGAACAGAGTGTTCCCTCACCTCAGGCCTTCCAGTGGTGGGAACAAAGGTAAGGGCTGTAGGGATATGGGAATATGATGGAAGCCCAGAGAGAGTCACCCCGCCCCTCCTCCAACAAATGCCATCAGAATCCTCCATCAGGACCACCGACAACTCCTCTGGCGTGAACTACAGGAAATGAAAACATGTTCTTTTTGCCTCCCTTTCCCCCAAGCCCAGTTTGTCAGCCTACCTGCCGTGGCCTCTGATGGGCTCCAGGCCACTCGTTCCCTCCTGGAGCCCACCAGCCAAATGCAGCCGGCTCGCCACTTAAATTTCTGTCACCATTCGCCTTGAGGCCTATGGCCTATCAACAGCCAAGTTGCATGTCACTGCAGTTCTCTTTCTTCAAAATGGAAGATCTCACAGTGCAAGGCAGTGTGGGAAAAAAGTAGAACACAGGCATGGGGTGGTGTGGAAAATGCACGGGGCACAGAATGGGTGAAGTTCAGAAGTATTTCTGGATCTTAAAACATGGAGGTGCTCTTTGGCCTCCCCTTGCACGTCTGTAAGAGAATGAGGAGGCTGCAGCCGCCCCTCTGGCACCTGCACTGCTCCCGTCTGTGACTTACTGATCCTGAGGGCAGGAAGGGGAGCTTGCCTCGTCATTCCCCTCCAGCTCTTTGTAACGAAGGGCGGACCGTATACATACTCACGCTCACAAGGTAAAGGGGGTCAACAAAATGCCCTGTGCGGTTGTGTACAGTGCACGGAAGACAGACCCAGTGCTTTCTGGTGCTGTTGTTAAAGGGTTGCACTGGCTACACGGGGCCTCTGGAGCACTCAGCTGCCCTTCACAGACAGAACCTCCAAATCTCACAGGCTTCTTCTTTACTCATATGTGGAAAGTCTCGTTAGTTTGGGGTTCATCTAGTATCCTGCATGTCTCTCTCATAAAGACTTCCCCACCCACTTCAGAGTGGGGCTCCGGTCACATGGCCAGGTGTCTGAGGGGAGGGAATGGACTAGAACCTGGAACCTTGGACTCCCAAGCCTCACTCCATCAGGTGCAGAAGCTGAGACACAGGATGGGTTGGGAGGTCTTCCTGTCACTAGCATTTCTTTTCCAGATACTCGGATCAAGGACCCCAAACAGACTTTAATGACTGGTTCTGGTGGATCAGTAGGGATGACGTTACATCACTGCATTGTAACGTGTCCTGATCCATCATCTATTAGCGATGTCTGCTGCGGCGTCTGGTGTGTGGAGGAGATGATTTTAGGTGTCATATCTGCCGTCCCTTCTTTGGGTGTATGCCAGTGCTCACTTTCCCTTGGATGGACGTGCACGTTCACATGTGGCTTAAAGCTTCCATTTCTCTTACACTCTGCTTGTAGGACGTGCGGCGTGTGCCCGGAGTAGCCCCAACGCTCGTCCGGTCAGCATCTGAGACCAGTGAGAAACGCCCCTTCATGTGTGCTTACCCGGGCTGCAATAAGAGATATTTTAAGCTGTCTCACTTACAGATGCACAGCCGGAAGCACACTGGTGAGTGTGTCTGCCGTCCAGCCTTGGTTCTGGAGGCCTTTGGGCAGGGGTGGCTCCCGAGCTCTGGCTCCTGGTTCTCGCACTGCGAAGGACGCATGTGATTCCAGGGGTGGAAAGGAGGCATTACTTTGAAAGGTCTGGCATAGGTGATCGAAAAAGGCCACAAGGCCGTTTTGTGTCCTGACTGTCCATGCGTTAATAAAGAAATCAGTCCATTGTCTTCAGGAAGGGCAGAGCAGAGTGGTGGGAAGAGAACTGTCAGAATTAAGGAGCCTTGTGTTGGAATACTGGCTTCATCACCAAGTGCGGAGCCCTAGAGCAAGTTACTTAACCTCTCTTTGAATTTCATTTGCTTAATGTGACAAATGGGTAATGCCTACCTTATAGAGTTGTTAGGACCGGATTAAAATTTAAAATTGAATTAAAGGAGTTAGAGGTATGAAGCACCTAGTGCAGTACTCTATGTCACTAGGTCTGAATAAATGCTAGCATTATTATTAGAATACTAGTAGCATCTCTAAAGAGAGAGGGACATGCTTGAGCGTTCTGTAATCAGATGATTTTGAGAGTTTGATGGGCACAGTTATCCTAAGATTAGGAAGAGATGGTCCGAAGAAACACTTAACTACCTGGGTTAATAATAACCAACCAGATGAGAACAGGAAGGTGGATTGTAGGTTTTACTTTTGTTTTCAATCTAAAAAAAAAAAAAAGACAAGACAGTGATTTTTGATGATGTGGATTTTCCCACAGGCCACAGTCTGGGGAAGACGATTGGCCTTGTCTGGTGGTTGGCCACCTGGACTGTGAACAGCCGTTTCACAAATGCTTGCCCTTGGCCTGTGGGCACTGGGCGGGAGTGAGGTGGGGTCTCCCCTCTAGGGAAACAGTGGGAAGCTCAGACTTTCCCATAGGGCTTTGCGGCCATTCTTTGCACAATGGAAGGACAGCTTTGTTGTGACCGCCACCATGATTATTTTACTGCTGACTTTGCTTTGGGGAAGCTGGAGGAGAAAGTGACCTGCATTCAGGTCTCTTGACCATTAGACTTTGCTGTCATTGCATCTCGATGATGTATTTCTGGCATAAACCCGACTGGGCACTCAGTAGGCTATTTGCTTTCAGGCTAAAGATGAGCAAACCGGTGGTGTGTTCCATTTTTACATATTTCCCTAAATGGGATCACTTGGAAAGTAAATGACAATGTTATAAGGGAAATGTTAAAGTAAATTTCTGCCTGGAAAAATGCGAGGGAATACTGTACATTGAAGACAATATAGTTGTAGAAACTCTAAGTGGGAAAGAGACAGGGAAAAGAATGAAAGTCAGAGAGAAGACAACAGATAAGACAGCCAAGACTACCAGGCCCGCAGGAGCATTTAAGAAGCTCTTTCTTGCAGAAGGTGAGGAGGGCAGGCTGGTATGTAACAATCCTGTGGCCCCTTTCTTGAAAGAATGCAATTTTTAAAAAAATGTACTTATAATAATAGTGCAGGCTATTAAGTAATTTTATGTTAAATGCCTTCTATGTGCCAGGCTCTCCACATGCATTGTTTCATTTAATCCTCACACATAAAACAATTATCCGGTGAGTAGGGTACAGCGGAAGCAGGACTCAAACTCATGCCTTTTAATTCCCAAGTCACGAGCCCCCATCTCAAAGAGCTAACTGTCTGTTCTGGACCTAGGATATGCACAAGTGAAAAGGGGCCAAGAGAGTAAATGGTAATCTACGAAGCCGGAGGCTGGAGGGGTTGGGAAGAATTGTTCAGAGAGTATCAGTTTGAGCTAGGCTCCGGGTTTCTTGGAGGAGGAAGGGCTTGGGCTGACCATCAGGGTTGATAAGCTTGAGCTGAGGAAGGAAAACAGGAGCAGGGGCAGAAAGGCAGGGGGGAAAAAATGAAACCACATAGGGGTCTAGTCCTCTCCAGGTGGATGAGGTGAAGCATAAGTTACTGGGCTAAATACAAGTGGCAAGTTAAGGAGAGGCTCCTGCCCTTGGATTTTCTAGCCCATGGAGGAAGGTAGACACAGCCCACCAACCACATCAGACATTCTGTAATCAATTCAGGCATGAACGAAGGAAGGGCTTTCCATCTGAACATGAAGGTTCCAGAGAGACATCACAGAGGATCAGGCATCTGTGAGGAATGTGCAGCAGACTTTTTTGCTGGACAGGAATGTGGAGACAGTGACCAAGTGCGTTTAGTATGAGCAAAGTGCAAGGCAGAGATTTCGGGAATGATGAGCTCTGATATAGCAGGAATACAGATGAATCAGGGAAATAGAGGAGATTCTGTGGCTGGAAAGGTACCTAGGGATTGCCCTGCAATGGAAAGACCCTGCTGAGCCCGGGATGGCGCGCTCCCCATCCCAGAATGCTGGTGACTCAGAATTCTCATAAGAAGGTGGAAATGCCCGAGGTCGCTTAGTGCACTCCTGCGGCTCAGTTCCCAGGACTTGGCTGAACTTTCTCAAGCGAGGACAGGGTGGGGCTTCTTCATTCCGCGGATGAGATTGTGCAACCTCACTACTGACCTCTATCTGATAAAGGGAGAGCAAAAACTTTCTGAATGCTTTTGGCTCTTAGTTTAACTTGAGCATCTCACAGCCATGGAGCCGTTCATGCTTGACTCAGGAATGAGAAGTCAGTAGCAGAGAGCACCAAATCTTCAGGCCATAAAATATGAAACACTTATTTCACGGGGCTGGCTCCCAGGCACGTCCATCCTAGAATTCTGCCTCAGATTCAGTCTAGGACTTAAGACTTCTTTGGTTTGTTATTTGTGTAAATATTTTCTGCCAATGGTTTTTGAGCACTGCTTCTGTGCTAGGTGCTGGGCTAAGCCTTTATGCAGATGGTCTGGTTTATTCAGTTTATAAATTCTTGGAAGCTCTCAGATTATTGGCTCCATTTCACAATGAGGAAACGACACCTCACCCAGCACTTAAAGTGGCAGAGCTGCTTGTGACCCCAGTGTCAGACTTCAGAATCTGAGTTTGTGTTCCCTTCTAATTGGGAAGTGAAGGACCGTCCTTATTCACCTAACCCCTTACCTACACCCACTGTCCATGAGCTTATGTACCGGTGGGCCTTTACCCACATACGGCAGTTGGCAAATCTACCCTAACATGCCTCACCAAAGTGTCTCAGGCATTTTGGAATCCCTTCAGTCCCCCGAGGGGAGGTTACCTTTAATGCAATCTCCACTTCCAGTGTCATTTTCAAATGGAGTATGTGTCTTCCTCCAAGGTGAGAAACCATACCAGTGTGACTTCAAGGACTGTGAGCGAAGGTTTTCTCGTTCAGACCAGCTCAAAAGACACCAAAGGAGACACACAGGTTTGTAGGTTCACTTCTCATTGCTGGCAGTGTGTTCCTTTGGGTTACGGCTAATTTTGTGATTTTCTTTGTTAAACATGGATATGAGAGGGTCAGCCATTTGTTTCATTTTTTTTTTCAGTTTTTCCCCCCCCTAATCTCTGGGGGGGGTTTCATCTCTTAAAAAAGAAAAAGAGAAGCCTCCCACATTTATCATGCAAGCCATGGAACACCGAGATCCCACTAGCAACCTGCCAGTGATACACTGAGCATCAGTAAAGATCATTGGTGGTGGAGATCAGAATCCCATCTGTAGTGTGTGATTCTCTTTTTCAGTCTTAGACACAGCTGAGACCTTGGTCAGAAGCTGGACATCTGTGGTTAAGGCATAATTGTTTCCAAGACCACAAGCAGGTCTTCAAGGGTTATGCGCAGAACCGGGTGGTTCACGCTGGGCCTGGGGGAGATCCGAGGGTGAGGCAGGTGTTGCAGGTGCGGCTGGAAATGCCTGGCTCCTCTGGCTGCTGGGAAGCAGGCCTTGTGGGCCTCATGATGCCCCCACCTCGTTAGGGCTGTGGCTAGACCTTCTCTGTCCGTTTAGGTGTGAAACCATTCCAGTGTAAAACTTGTCAGCGAAAGTTCTCCCGGTCCGACCACCTGAAGACCCACACCAGGACTCATACAGGTAAAACAAGTGCGTAAACTTTTCTTCACATTTATTTTTCATTATTTTTTTATAACTACCGTTGAATGAAGTTGTTTATGATGAGAGAGACTGGAAAAGACTAGTGTGAAAGGATTCTAAACAGGTTTAGACTGAGAGGAGAGAAAGAACAGTACATGGCTATCTTTAAATAATAACATTGTTTAAGAAGGGGTGGGGCGTGGATACAGAGCAGAAGGGAGATGGGAAAAGAACCCTTCATGAGTGTCCAGAATAAAACGAAGAGATAAGTTAGGTCTCTCCTGTTCCCAATTTGTTGTATTTTTATCATTTAGCTCGATATGATAATCAGCCTTACAGAAGAACACCAGAAATTCTAACAAGCCAAAATCTAGCAAGCTAAACATTTATTCCCCTGAAAGTTCACATTTCACCGCACTATTTTCAGAGGCCTGAATCCTTTCTCTGCAAAAAGATAATGCCCCAGGAGCTGTCATGCTTTCTGCCAGACTCATATCAGCATGCAGATATTACTTTTTTAATACTAGTATAGAGAAAAGGAATAGGATATTTAAGGTTTTTACTTCCCTATAAGCTGGTGTGATTCATAATGAAAATAGTACCATCTTTGTTGTGTATCTTATAGCTTTGGAAGGAGAAACAACGCCTAGGTTATCTTTATCTTCACAACAGTCTTGTCAGAAGAGCAGGACAGGCATGTTTTAGAGATGAGGGAACTGAGGTGCATAGCGATTAAGTGACTTGTGTAAAGTCCCAAAGCTAGTAAGGAGCAAACCCAGTTTTATTTGCTCCCAGCCACCGTATCCCACTGCCTTCTTTGTTAGAGAAAGGCGTAGGGATTTGGGGTTCACCTCACAGCCCAGGGAGGAAAGAGAATGAAGAAGGCAGCCAAAGTCAGCAGGGCTGAATACCACTGATAGCCGGGGGAGAATGAAGACAACAGGAGACAAGGCTGAACATGGACACAGCTTTGGCGGCACTGCTGGAGGTGGGGGCCAGGGAGCAGGAGCCGGAGCAGGGAAGGCAGAGAAACAGCAGTGGGAGGTGACAGAAGGCATGATGTCATGAGCACCTGGATTCTCAACCCAAACAGGCTGCCCTTGTAGACAGAGACAAAGTACCTGTGCCCTAGAGTTGGGAGGAAGGGCAACGCGTTGGCCCTACTCAGGCGCTTTGGTGTTGCTTCTTTGCCTGAGCCCTGAGCTCATAATTTGGTGGGAAAGAATTTCCATTCCTTCTACCCCAAACCCCTACTTTGTGCATATCTGCACATGTGCAAAGTGACCTGTTATAAGCAGACTGTTTAACGCTATACTTGATTGCCTCCTGCCCCTATTCTGACCCTGGGATAACACTTCTCCTGGGACATTTCTCAGTGCTTGTCCTGACCAGTAGTTCTCAGAAAAGGCACAGTGGGACCAGTGATATCCTGAGAAGGTCCCCCAGGTGGTGCAACAGATTGGCTTCTGTGACATTTGTACTCAGCATGAAGTCACAGCCCTATTTCCATTATGGCTAGGCCCAGGAGGCGGGAGACAGAAAAGTGCATGGGCTTTGGAATTAGGTGGACCTGGATTTGAGTCTCGCCTGAGTCTGCCCTCCCCTATGTGTGGAGTGGGGATAACAGTGCTTCCCTTACCGAGGTGCTCTAAGGAGTTCATGAGGCAGGCGTATGTGTATGATGCCCAGCACAAGGCACGTGAGAAGTGCTAATTATCTTCCCTATACGAATGTGGCTTGAAAAGAACTTCAGAAGGCGCCTTAGATGGAGAAGGCTCGATCTTTTGGCAAGCTTGTTAAAAATCTCAATACCATGCCTCAGCTAGAATTTTCTGTGTAACAGGAATTATGCTTTGAGTAACACTTTAGGGAAAAAGATGCAAATACCATGCACACTAGTATCAGTGACTTGTTTAAAACTACACAGCCTGTCCACCATATCTCTACAGGCAGAGATAGTGAAGCTGCGGTCACAGCTGTACTGCTGGATGGTGGTTAATCAGTGATATCCAGGGTGATGGTCCTGAGACCTTGCAGCCAGTTAACGTCAAGTCCCTACTTAGCAAAGGGAAACGACGTACACAGTTCACAAAACAGCCTAATAGAAGAGGTTGAAACCAAATTTTCCCCCCATAATTGAATATGAATTACCTAGGTATTTCCATTCACAGTCTCCCATTTCCCTAGCCTTTTGGTTTAATATTTTATAATTTTTAATAGTATTTTAATCTGTTAGGCCTCCGCGGTGCTGCCATATCAAAGTTGCCTGTGAAATGAGCCTGGTGCGTTAGGTTAGGGCCAGAACAAAAGGGAGTTGGGAGTGGGTGCCGTGTGATGACTTAACTCGGGCTTTGGAGAGTTGAACTTACACCCACCTTTTCCACTGCAAGTATCTGACTGGCAATTGTGTCAACAGGTGAAAAGCCCTTCAGCTGTCGGTGGCCCAGTTGTCAGAAAAAGTTTGCCCGGTCAGACGAATTGGTCCGCCATCACAACATGCACCAGAGAAACATGACCAAACTCCAGCTGGCACTCTGAGAGGTCCAACCCGGAGACAGTTCTGTGTCCCAGGCAGGACAGTGTGGGAACTACTTCAAATATGACTTTGAAATTCCTCCTCACTCACCTCTCTAAGAAGGAAATGGCAGTTCATCTTCTTCATGCAGCTTCCAAGACAAGATGCGTGTACTACTGGATCCTACCGGCTTTGCCCGGAGAAGGTGGCCTCTGTTTTGCCAACCTGTAGTTGACTCACAAGGCCCTGGAGAAGTGGCTGACAGCGTCTGGTTCCTTAAAAGCCTGTCGCCGTTTGGTCTGGATTTTCCAGTGTAAGAAGAGCCATTGTTGATAATGTTCCCCCACCCTCTTCTTCTTTTACGCTCATTTTCAGTGGGAATGGAGTCATTGTACCATTTTCCATCATAGAATATTTATAGGCCAGGGCATGTGGATGTGTCTGCTAATGTAAACTTTGTCATGGTTTCCATTTACTAACAGCGACGGCAAGAAATAAATCAGAGAGCAAGGCCCTGGGGCGAGTCCTGTCCGACAGCCTAGAGGTTAGGCAGGCTGTACGCCACCAGGCAACTTTTAAAACTTATGTGTTTCAAGCAGTTGAGAAAAGAATCAGAACTAATCAGTACCTCTGTAGAGAAATCTCAAAGAATCTTACCCTTCAGTTAGTTCAATGTTAACATTAGCACAACGTTCTTAAGAAACCGTGCTTGAAGATCTGAGATTTTGGTTTTGTGTTTATTTTTGACTTTTTGAGTTGTAGTCATATGCATCTTCAGAGATGTACATATCTCCTCACACAAAGGAAACAGAATTCATTTTTATCATTTAGGGTGTCCTTAGAGTCCTTAGAGTGTACAGGCCACACTGGTTATGTGGCTTCAGGTTGTAAAAATTAAAGCGACTCTAAAAGAAATAGGGGCTGATCCAGGATCTCCACCGATAAGACTGTTCTTAAGTAACTTAAGTAACTTTTGGTCTACAAGTTAGACGTGCAAAAAATGATGCTTACTAGTGGGAGGAAATCCATTGTTTAAAGGTAATTGGGTGTGTGTGTGTGATTTTTTTTTTCAGTTTTTTAAGGGAGGGAGTTTATTATTTACTGTTGCTTGAAATTATTGTGTAAATATATATCTGATAATGATTTGCTCTTTGACAACTCAAGTTAGGAAATGTATAAATGTTAGATGTATCACTGTCTTGGTGTTGATCTTACAGCGTATCAATGATAACACTAAAAATGTAACCTGCATTTTTCACTCTGCTCTCAATTAAAGTCTATTCAAAAGGAAAGTGGCAAGATTCTGTCAGCTGTATTGAGTTCAAATCTTGAGGACAGTTGAGTTTCTTTTGAATAAGTAAGAAGATACCACCGACACTGATGGTCACTAGTTGAGTCTGTCCAGGTCCTGACCATTATTTATTTCTTCTTGTCGAAAATGAGGAGGGAATTCTCTGCCCCAGAAGCAGCCAGCAAGTCCTGTCTCCTGCTTGCATCGTGCAGGGATCATGCCGGTGCTGCGGTTGAATGGGCCTATGGATAACGTGGGAGTTATGTTTTAAGGTTCATTGTAATCAGCCTATCATTGCATCGCTTCTTTTTACAGGTCAGCAAAAGAGTGTAGCGAGATGCTAATGATAACAGGTCTTTTTTGTAAAGTTCACATACACACTACAAGCTGAACACCTAGTACAAGTGAATTTACAGCCACAGTTGCTGTAAATCAGCTCAGCAGGTTGAAAAACGCTTAGACTTTCCAGGCCGGCCAAGTGTGAAAGCAAAGATCTACATTATCTATAAACTATAAACTCTCTTTCCGGTCCTGGTGTATGGTTTTTCAGTTGTAAATAAGGAGATTGATTTGGTGCCGTCCTCTCAGCTCCATTATCTTGGAGCTTGCACGCATTCCAGGTTTCATTTCTTCTTTTAAAATGTATCTTGAGCACCGGGGCAGCTCAGCCACAGAAACTCTTTTCTGCATTGAAGTGCAGCTCAAAGTCCTGGCCTCCTAAAAGTCAGGTCCTGGGGGCCCCTGTTAGGTTGCATCTGGCTCTTGCATCACTGTTAATTATAGCGAGTGTGGTGACTCATTTGTATCAACCCTTTTTATCTTTTCCTGCCAGAAGACAGCATTTCTCTGGAGAAGCTCAGGACAAGCATGGCAAACGTCAGCGCAAGTCCAAGGGAGCCAGGTTTCACAACAAAAGCAAAGTCACATTGTTTCAACTGCACGAGGAGGACCAGAAATTCTCACATTACCCTAGCGGTTTGGCTTACAGTTAAGATCATGGGCTTTGGAAAGCAGACCAATCTGGGTTCTAATCCTAAATTCCCGGTTTCCTCATCTGTGATACAGAGACAAAAGAGCGCCTTGCCTGATAGAGTCAGAGTGAGGATTAAATGAAAAAGACAGAAAGAAAAAACATGAAAACATCTACTACACAGCAAAGGCTTAAGAAATATTATCTAGGGAGACGATGACCCTCCTGCTGATTTCCTTTGTCTCCCACTCCCCCAGGCGTGTTCTTAGAGTGTCAGACATTGTCACAGGTCAGCTCTGCAACATAACAAGCAAGTCCATTTCCATGGACTCCAAACCAGAGTTCAGGTTTGTAGCAATAGGGCTCTTGCCAGCCTCCCCACAGCGACATGTTTTGTGCCTTTTGTAAAACACCCAGCAGCACTGTGTGTGTGTTTCTGGGACGCATAGTGTTGACCATTAGCAGATTGTCAGGGCGGACGCGGCTCAGTGGGAGCTCCACACATAGGCTGGGCTACAGGCTATATTAGGTGCAGTTTTCAAAATGTGCATATTCTGTCTTGCTTTACAGCACTGTATTGTTCAATATTTTTTCAAGGCCACCTTTGGTCACCCTTTTCTGTCTCCCAAGGCTCTTCCCAGACCATTCTAGTCACCCCTAGCTCTCTCATCCCTCAACTTCTGTAACACTCAGGATGTAACATGAAATGGTATCACATACGGGTGTGTTGTTTTCCCATCTAGGACAATCTGTAAGGTAGACAGGACAAGTAGTATCCCACTTTACAGCTGAGGCAGCTGAGGTTCAGTGAAAGGAAATGGCTGAGGCAGGACTTGGGCTTGGTGCTCTGAACTCAAGTTTCCCTCTAAAATGTGCTTTGAGGATTTGACTTGCACTCTGCTCCATTGTTCCGTATCTGTGAGTCATATCTTCCCAACCAAGCGTGAGCTCCTAGAGGGAAGAAGCAGATCTTCTCCCTTTCCTGTGTTGCTTACATCAGGGCTTCTCAACCTTAATAGCTGTAGCTAGTCCCCAGGGAGTTTGTTCCAGTGCAGACTCAGATTTAGAAGTTTGGGGGCCAAGCCCGAGACTGCATTGCTAACAAGCTCCCGGGCAATTCCCACCCTGCTGGGCTGTGGACCACAGTTTACGTAACAAGGACCTATACCAGTGACCGACGGGATTTGTGCTTGACCATCCTGAGACCGCACAGAACCTTTCTAGAGCGGCCTGGGGCTCTGCTGTGATGGTCCTTGGGCTGTGGGTCAGGACATTCACGGTGAAAGCAGTCAGCACTGCGAGTGACACGTCAGGGGTGTCCATCCATGCAGAGGTTTATTTTCAAACAGTCTGCCCATCCTTTCTCAGTGACTTCCCACAGGCCGGGGAGACCTCTGCAGGTAAGAGGAGGTATGCTGCGTAGTCGCACCTGCATATCCAGTCTGGGCCCCTCATCCAGTCCCCATCTCAACCACAGGCCCCGACCTCCCTGACACCCCCCCGACTGGGGAGACATTTACGACTTTGGGGAGGATTTAGTCGCCGTGAGCCGGCAGCCTCAGCAGCAGGCCGGAATTCCCCATGCCTTGCTCCTACTGGGAAGCACTCGCTTAGCTCGCTTGGGTACTGAGGGGCAAAGGCAATGACTCCTAGAAGCATGTTCTCCCTGCTGGATGTTTGCATCTCTGATCTTGGGCTCACAGGCCTGCCAGGGAGAGGGGTACGTATGTGTAGAACAGCGGTTCTCAACCGGGGATGTTTTTCTCCACACCTCACAGCAGGCAGAGCGGCCTATAGGAATTTCTCCCAGGTAAATGTAGAAGAACCTCAGTAAGGGGAACCAATCCCTGAGAACGTACGAAGGCTTTGGCGCTCTCCAGTCAGGTCTTTGCTTCTATTTTATTTATCAAGTGATTAGAATCTGTGCAAAACTTAATAAATCTATTTACATGATCAGGATAATGATGCCCACACGTGGTCTGATTTCTTATACTGAGGAGCAAGTAGCTGCTTCAATGGAGGGCTCTGGATTTTTCTCCATTTTTCAAGCAAAATCATGATTCTGTTAGTTTTCTGATGGGGCTTGAGAAGGAAAGAAAGAGCCAGACAGCATAGAACGGGTGGCCTCCGAGAGGTCTGGAAACCCACCAGAACAGCCCCAGACAGCCATACGCAGTCACGACCCCCGTGAATAACGCTGGGTTTGTACACTGGGGTTTTTGTACTGGTGAGGGGACGAGGACACACTCCTGAGGGACAAGACTCTGGGACGTCTGTGTCTTGAAGCACAATTTAAAGGTCAGCCAGCTATGAGTGGCAGTCTCGGACAGACAGATGTCAGATGTAAGTAGTTAAGGCAGACCAAATTAGCAAATGTGAATTCAAGGGATAAATGAGATATTTTTATGGAGCAGGGGAGGCTTGAGAGATAGTCCGGGGGGATGGGGCTGAGATCATTGGAGAGAGTGGGCTGGTCCAAACAAGTAGCTTCTCCCCATCCTAGGAACATTGGTGATGTTGACGCTGAGCGAGGACAGCCTGCCAAGGCAGGGATGCTGAGCGCCACTGAGGAGGCAGCTGGACTCTAGGAGAAAGTGGAAGGAGGGCTGGAGAGAGGGGGACAACTCTGGAAAGAAACACAGAGACAGATGAGGAATGGATTGCAAATGTCAGGGAGGTCTGACAGGAAGAGGGGCTTCTGTCTGCAAGGGCCTGACCCTCGTGGGAACCCGCCCCCAGCTCTGTGAACACACACCCAGGGCTTTCCTCAGTCAGCGACGCTCAAGCACTAGCATGAAAATGATAATAATGGGCACCATTTATTGGACCTGTATGAACAGGCCAGTGACATTTTACATGAATTCTATTGAGAACGTTCCCATTTTACAGATGATGAAACTGAGGCTCTAAGAAAGTATCTCACACAGGGTCATGCAGCTCATGTGTGGCAGAGTTGAGAGCCTAAGCCAGTGCTGACTCAAAGCCCACATTCTTCACCTATGCATTGCACTGTACTTATATCCCTAGCCTCGGGGCATGCTGGCCTGAGAACCAGAGGAGCAGGAATGCCGGGAGAAGGTGACGGCAATGCCTTCC